TAACATAGGAGAGGGGCTAATACAGAAATAACTCCCCTTTCCTTGTATTTCATATTTATATTTTAACCGTGTTCAGGAAAGACAGAAATCAGACATGCTGTGTGCAGCAGAGTGGGTGTGCATTCTTCATTCATTCCTCCATTTTTTCCCCCTCTTGGGCAGCTGTCTCCGTCTTTTTGGGGCACCAGGAACCGTTTCTGTGGAAGCATGGTTTCCTGCGCTACCTAAATCCCGCGCACGCACAGATGAAGCCATGCTTGCTTGCACGGCCCTAGTTCCTTAACGGGCTGCAGATCAGTGGTGGTCCACAGCCCAGGAATTGGGGTCCCCTGCTTTAGGGGGGAAAAGAACCATGAAGTGCCAAACCGGGTGGTGCTTGATAGTATTTTGTGTGTGTGTGTGTTTGTATGTTGGATCAAAGTTGTGGGGTGAGGGTAATGGGGATTGGGTCCATGTCATGTGGTGCATTTATTTATTTATTTATTTATTTATTTATTTATTTATTTATGAGACTTATATACCGCTTTAAGTGCAAGCACTCTCTAAGCAGTGTACACCAGTAAGCAATGTGTATGTGTATATGTGTATATATATATATATATATATATATATATATATATATATATATATATATATATATATATATATTTACATTGCCCCCAACCATCTGGGTCCTCATTTTACCTACCTCGGAAGGATGGAAGGCTGAGTCAACCTTGAGCCGGTGAGATTTGAACCGCTGACCTGCTGAACACAGTCAGCTAAAGTGGCCTGCAGTACTGCACTCTAACTGCTGCGCCACCTCGGCATGAGGGTATTTTATGTGTGTGTTTGTGTGTTGGATCAAAGTTATGAGGTGACGGTAATGAGGATTGTGTCCATGTCACGTGGTGCATGATGGTATTTTGTGTATGTTTGTGTGTTGGATCAAAATTGTGGGGTAAATGTAATGAGGATTGTGTCCATGTCATGTGGTGCATGACGGTATTTTGTCTGTGTGTTTGTGTGTTGGATCACAGTTGTGGGGTGAGTGTAATGAGGATTGTGTCCATGTCACATGGAGAGGGAAGGAATTGTTTCCATACATGGTCCATGACGGTATTTTGTGTGTGTTTGTGTGTTGGATCACAGTTGTGGGGGGAATGTAATGAGGATTGTGGCCATGTCACATGGAGAGAGAAGGAATTGTTTCCATGCATGCCACTCCAGTCTTCTCTTCCAGGACCAACAACTCAAACTCTTACTTGCAGATCCCATTCAAAAATTCCAAAGTCACTAAGAAACAACCTCAGTCAATATTATTGTTCAGTTGCTAAGTTCTGTCTGGCTCTTCATGACACCATGGACCACAGCACCCATCCCTGTCCTCCATTGTCTCTAGAAGTTTGCCCAAATTCACGTTCATTGCGTCAATGGCACTATCTAACCCTCTCATGCTTTGTCGTCCCCTTCTCCTTTTGCCTTCCATCTTTCCCAACATCAGAGTCTTTTCCAAGGAGTCTTCTCTTCTCATTAGGTGGCCAAAATATTTGAGCGTCATCTTCAGTACGTGTCCTTCCAAAGGACAGTCAGGGTTGACTTCTTTTAAGATTGACTGTTTTGACCTCCTTGCAGTACAAGGGACTCTCAAGCGTCTTCTCCAACACCACAATTTGAAAACGACCTCAGCCAACAGGATTGCTGATTTATAATGACAGAAGTAGTCATTGAACGGCAGTTAGAAATCTTCACTGTTGGGATGAAGCTGCCCTTGATCAAAATAGAAAGTCCTTTGTAAAGTGAGTCTCTAGAATATGTTGTGCTATCACTCCCATCATCCTGACATCTGCATGATCAGCTTTTTGAGGATATGAGTAAGGTAGTCCAATTCACATGGATGGTGTCAGATTTGGAAGAGCAATGAATGTCTAAAAGTGTGGCATTTAGTTATTACAAAAGTTTTTTCAAAGACAACCTCCAGAGTACACAATATGGGGATACTAATGAGCTGTGAGACATCTTCCTTTGTGCTTCTAAATTCCTTGTTCCATCTGACTTTGAAGAATCCAGAAGGCAGAAAAAATATGCTTCTTACAAATACTTTCCCCCCAGTGGTGGCTCAATCATGACTGAGTCAACTATATGACATTTTTACACTAGCGAAACAGATCATTCACTCCAGAATCCTCCAATTATCATGAGAAGGATGAGACCGAAGCTAGTTTGATATATATTTGAATAAGAGAATTGGGAAAGAGTTTGCTTCAAAATGCATACGCATCTCCGTTCTGCTGAATTTAGCACAGCTCTCACTGTGTCCCACTGTCAAGATTTAAAGATGGCTTTATCTAGGCTGTGCATAATTAGAAAGATCTGATAAACATTCTTGAAGAGTGTCATTGTAATGAATAAAGGCTTTCAATGAATGTCTTCTCACAAATGGGCAGTATAAGCTCATTTATTATTATTATTATTATTAATTATTATTATTATTAATTGGAAGGGACCTTGAAGGTCCAACCCCCTGCTCAGGCAGGAAACCCTACACCATTTCAGACAAATGGCTGTCCAGTCTCTTCTTAAATACTTTCAGTGTCGGAGCATCCACCGCTTCTGAAGGCAGGTTGTCACACTGGTTAATTGTTCTAACTGCCAGGAAGTTTCTCCTTAGTTCTAGGTTGCTTCTCTCCTTGATTAGTTGCTTCTTGCCCTGCCTTCAGGCGCTTTGGAGAATAGCTTGACTCCCTCTTCTTTGTGGTAGCCCCTGAGATACTGGAACACTGCTATCATGTCCTCCCTCGTCCTTCTCTTCATTAAACTAGACATACCCAATTCCAGCAGCCTTTCCTTATATGTTTTCATTGGATATGGTTGAGCATCTTTCTCTAGAGTTTAATTTGGCTACCTGAATTCAGCTTAGGATGGAACCCCAATCTCTCTAAATCAGGACTCTCCAAACTTGGCAATTTTAAGACGTGTGGACTTCAACTGAGGAATTCTGGGAGTTGAAGTCCACACGGTCTTAAAGTTGCCTGGTTTGGAGAGCCTTGCTCTAAATCATTCTCAGAATCTCAAATGTTGACTTTGCAGTTCTCTCCAGTGAGTGGAAAAGAGGGGGAGAAGGAAGCCATCAGATTAACTTTCATTCATATTTTCCACTGTCTCTCCATCTTAGAGAGACTAAGTTTCTCACCCCTTTAAACTTCTGAATGAATGCCATTGTTCTCTGCAGTCTGTCCTGTTGGTATCTCATTATGGGCAGAGGAGATCATGTTTTCTCCTGGGAAAACTTGGTTCTTTTCGAATTTATTCCCCCTCCTGCCAACAGACACTTTTAAAAATCTTCCAGCCATTTCCAAAGGACGGTTGGTCATTGTCCCCCTAACAAGCTGAATTATTAAAGCTTCTGCTTGTCTCTGCTGAATGAATCAGCCAGACAGGCTGGACAGGAGAGATAATACAACAAAAAGCTAATGACAGCTGAGCAATGCCTTGAAAGGCAAAAGAAAGAATGAGATGGAAGGAGGGAGGGAGGGAAGGAAGGAAGGAGGGAGGGAGAGAAGGAGGAAGAAGCTGGCTTTTCATGAACTACAGTATGGAGTTACTTAAATCAGATTTGAAATACATGGAAGTTTTCAAAATAAAAATTAGTTACAGATAGTCCTTGATCTACAGCCATTCAGAGGGACTGTTCAAAGATACACTGGCACTAAAAAAAGTTGCTTACAATAGGTTCTCGTGCTTACGGCCATCATGGCATCCCTGCAGCCATATAATCAAAATTCAGGTGCTTAACCTCTGGCCTGTATTTACAACGATTGCAACATCATGAGATGCCCACTGGCAACCTTCCCAGTTGGTTTCTGACAAGCAGAGTCATTGGGGGAAGCTGGATTTGCTGAAGAACTGCAGTGATTCACTTAAGCAAAAAAAAAAGAAAAAAAAGGTCATAAAATCAGGCAAGACTCATTTATCCATCACCTTGCTTGGCAATGAAAATTCTGGTCCTAATGGTGGATGTAATTTGAGAACTATCTTTATTGGGAATCTTGTAGCTTGGAAATTCAGATAGATAGGTAGATGAGTGATAGATGAGAAAGAGAGAAATAAATAATAGATAGATGATAGATAGATAGATAGATAGATAGATAGATAGATAGATAGATAGATAGATAGATGATTGAGAAAGATGTAGAGATAGATGTGGAGACAGAATTAGAGATAAAGGTGGAGATAATGATAGATAGGTAGATTGAGAGAAAGATGTAGAGATAGATGTGGAGACAGAATTAAAGGTGGAGATAATGATAGATAGGTAGATTGAGAGAAAGATGTAGAGATAGATGTGGAGACAGAATTAGAGATAAACATGGAGATGATAGATAGATAGATAGATAGATAGATAGATAGATAGATAGATAGATAGAAGATTGAGAGAGAGATGTGGAGACAGAATTAGAGATAAAGATGGAGATGATAGATAGATAGATAGATAGATAGATAGATAGATAGATAGATAGATGATAGATAGATAGATAGATAGATAGATAGATAGATAGATAGATAGATAGATGCCTTTTAACCTGAGTACCAAAATCAGTTAAGGATGCTCTTTCTGTGGTCTTACCCCTTGATATGGCTCACAGTTCGGTGGTAAGAACTGAGCCTTCTCAATGAAAACTTGCCAAGTAAGGAACTTCAGAGGGGAAGAACAGAAGAAATGCAGCAGTCTCCTCTTAGATAAGAAATTCAGGAAATGCTTAGCATACATCTGTGGGATGCCTGAAGAGTCGAAATAAAAATTAGGCATAAACAGACATGTGTCGTTCCATAATTCAGCATTGTTCATGCAAGAGTTTGGCCTCCAGACCAGGATTTTTTAAACTATTTGACCCAATGAACTCTTTTTCCAGTCGTGAATAATATCTTTAAAAATTTGTTTTACATAAGCTTACAACAACTTTTGTTTTACACAAGCTTCGCACGGGCAGTCCCAAATTAAAATCTAGACACAGAGTCAATCAGTTACCATTTTTTTTCCTTTATCCACAATAGACTGCCACCTTAGGAACCCCAGTTCTAAGCCAAAATAGTTCATCTCCTCTATTTGCTTTTCAAAAAAAAACCACATCATTAAAAAAAAGAGCAAACAATGGGAAAGATTTACTTTCTGCAAGATGGCCAAGGAGCTGTGATAACACACACTCTTTCACTTTTGCATAACCCTTGACATTCTTAATTTATCCCCCATATTATGCCAACTGTGAGAGATAACACGGTTGTAAATTATTTGGGTGAAATGTAAGCAAGACCTAAAATCCCTGCATTACAACATCCAGGAACTAAAATCAGCAAACTCATTCATTAGTTGTGTACAATATGACACAGTGATCTCATTTTCCAACAAGGAAAAAAAAAACGAGTTTCTTCTTCGCATGAGTATAGCTTAAATTAACGGGAGATAAACTGCAAGAATATTAGAAGACATTTTAGGCACAAAAACAGTACAGTGGGGTGGGGGGTGGGAGAGAGAAACAGGAAGAAAAGGGGATCCTGGATTGGAAATATATTATTTTACTTTAATATTTTTTTTACAAACACATGTGTACGTGTGTTAATCCTCAGCATTTCAGGGAAGTCAGAAATCAGCACAGTGTTGACACAGAACCTGTTTCGCAGCTCAAGGTATTTTCTTACTTCGAGGGTGTCCTTTGTCATCTGCTTAAAACCAGCACTTGTAAAATTTTGCTGTAGCATTTAGACGCCATGCAATACACTTTGTCTGAATGACAGCCTTGAAGCAGCTTTCTTGAATTCTTGGCCTGTTCTGGAAAACAAGGTCTTATTTTGGGAACACACAAAAGCATCCAAGATCGGAGAGTGCATCTGAGCTTGTGCAGAGGAACTTTTCTTTCACGTATCCAGCACTGTCAAAGGTTCTTCATTATAAATTTGGGCTTCTCACCTGCAGCCCAAGTGAACCTTCCAGGAACTGATGAGACGACAGCTTTGTCGTTGCCCTGATGATTTAGTGATGAACCTCAGTCCTAAAACAGAAAACAAGAACAGATCTGTTCATTGCAGTTCACCAGATGAAAAGAGAATCTCTTGGCGTAGAAGGCAGTTGAATCCTAGTTGTTAAAAGCTACAACTGGGGCATGGGATCATGACAGCCTGCATTCCAGCAATCCAGTAGCAGAGTCAAATGCTGCTAGAAGCAAAAATGAAGCTGAGCTCTGCTGAACTTATGGTCCTATTTCAATAAGTTTTTTGTTCTGCTTTGCACACACAAAAAAGCAAAATATTCCACTCAACTCAAGCCAAAAACTGCCTTTTTGGAAGCACCCATCAGCCCCCTTTATCCAGACTGACTTCTTCTCAGATGTACATCCAATGCTCCGTGATGTTCTTGGCCGTCAAGGGTTTCTCTTTCTCCTTGAAAAAAACAGTTTCTCTCTCGCTTTTTTTGTTCAGCGCAACACACTTGGAGTTGCCATGCACGACAGGCATGTACAACAGGCACAAAGGCCTAGGAGTGCCGACAAGATGGCGGACAACCGGGAATGGCGCTCATATTTGATGGCTTTCTTGACTTCCTCATTGGACTGGGAAATATAATCAATGGTGTGCAGGATGTTGTACTCAATACTGTCGAGGACCTCCTGTTGTTCCAGAACCAGGATCTCCAAGTGCAAGAAGAGGGAGTGGAGCTCACTGATCTGGGTCTCCAAGTCAAGCAGCTGCTGGTGGCGCACCTGGGCCATGGCGAGGTGCTGCTTGGCTTTGAGCACTTCCAGGTCTCGGCCAACAATGCGTGGCATTGTCTGGCTCTCCACCAGTTGCTTGATGTCCTCCTCTTGGAGATGCAAGCCGGCCAATTCCGTCTGTCTCTGGATCTGCTCCTTCAGCTTCTCCACATAGTGGATTTCCTTGGTGTAATGGCGGGTGATGCTCTCACGGTAGCGGTTGACCAACACCGAGAACTGGCTATAGCGAATGCGGCTGATGGCCAGACTCTTAGTGCTGTCCTTGGCCAGGCTCTCCTGGAGGCTATTAAGCCTTGGCTGGAGAGCCTTAGCTTCCTTGGTGAAAATGTCCTTCATGGTGCTAAGCTGTTTTTTCTCCTCACTAATGCTTTCTTCCGTGGTGCAGCAAAGCACCTGTTGTTGCTTCTTATCGATGTTCTCAGAACATTGCTCCAGGTTATTCAGAGCCAAAGAGAGGCTGCTTATTTCTTGGAGAACCTTACTCATCGGACTGCTCTCGTCTTCTTGAAAAGCAGGGTTGTCAAAGGAGAAGGTCTCCTCCAGGTCCAGAGAGTCCCCATTCTCATACGTGCGTCTCCTCAGTTCCTCCAGCCTGTCCTTCATCTTCGGCTCTCTTTGATACTTGAAACATTTGCAGGAAAGGAGCTGAGCAAGACCCACCCATTGACTTTGAGAAACATTTTAAGCAACTCCAGAAACTTTTGCGTCAATCTGAGCTGCTGGGGCTGGGAAGCCGGGAGAAAAAGAAAATAGAATTTAAAAAAAAAAAGCTCTTCCCTCCCTCCAGCTACTGCAAATATTGACCGTGGCAATCCGCTTCTAAGCCAGCATTTACCCGGGATCACATGGCCAACTCCAACCGGCTGGACCACATTCCATGCCAAGGGTGGGTGGCACAAAGCCCAGCGGTATAATAGAAGCTGCCAAAATGAATCTTCAGAGAACAGTTGGGAGAAATGGCAACCAAAAGGAGATGTTTTGAAGCCGGTGACCAGAGGTGACCCTATTAACTCCCCTTGTCCACAGCAGATTTGGACCCTCCAGCTTGACTGGCATATGCAGTGCATGCAACCGATTGTGCCGAAGGGTGTTTCTTTTGGTTGAATATATCAGGTGTTTAAAACTGAATAGGCTTTGCTTGCTTTAAACCAAAGCCTCAAAATCAAAATAAAGCAAAAATCCAACCCCAAACAAGTGGTTAGCTCCTAAGACCCTTTGGGAGGAAGAAACTAGATACAGGGGGGACATGATAGCAGTCTTCCAGTATTTGAAGGGCTGCCACCAAGAAGAGGGGGGTCACGTTATTCTCCAAAGCACCCGAGGGCAGGACAAGAAACAATGGATGGAAACTGATCAAGGAGAGAAGCAACCTGGAATTAAGGAGAAACTTCCTAACAGTGAGGACAATCAACCAGTGGAACAGAAGTTACCTCCAGAAATCGTGGGCGCTCCATCACTGGAGATTTTTAAGAAGAGACTAGACAGTCACTTGTCTGAAATGGTATAAGTTCTCCTGCTTGAGCAGGGGGCTGGACTAGAAGACCTCCAAGGTCCCTTCCAGCTCTATTCTATTCTTTGCCCATGTCTAAAATTTGTGCATCCTGCCCTCTCCCAATCAACTGGCAAATAGCTGGGCCTCATTCAACCAAGGGGTACTTCCTGACAGTTAGAACAATTAGCCAGTGGAACAACCTGCCTCCAGAAGCGGTGAATGCTCCAACACTGGAGATTTTTAAGAAGAGACTGGACAGCCATTTGTCTGAAATGGTATAGGGTTTCCTGCCTGAGCAGGGGGTTGGACTAGATGACCTCCAAGGTCCCTTCCATCATCATCATCATCATCATCATCATTATATTATTATTATTAAGATACAGATACAAATGTACTAGTGGTCCTTGGCTTACAACCACAACTGAGCCCAAAATTTCAACTGCTAAGCAAGACCGTCATTAAGTGAGTTTTGCCCCATTTTACGGCCTTTCTTGCCACAGTTGTTAAGTGAATCACTGCAGTTGTTAATTTAGTCAAACGATGGCTAACTGAAGCCGGCTTCCCCCACGGACTTTGCTCGACTGAAGGTTGCAAAAGGTGATCACGTGACCCCCGGGGGGGGGGAACACTGCGACCCTCATAAATGTGAGCCGGTTGCCAAATGCTGATCTTGATTTTTGACGTTTGGATGTTTGGATTTTGAATGAAGCAAAAAGTTCTAACGATAAAGTTAGAGCTAGTTATTGCTGGTTGGGCTTTTAATGGGGACTCCTCGCCAGACCGACACATCAGCCTGCGCCGTGAACTATTGCAGCCTGACCAGCTGTTTAGAAATCAGAGATGTTTCCAGAAGGCCTTCTTTTGAGTCCAAAGGGAAGGGAGAATGGGGATGTCTGCTTCATTCCGTCAAGGAAAACCTTCCCCGTTCTGTTTTCCAACGCTAAGAAACATGGATTAGATTCCAAAAGGCCAGGTGTGAAAACCAGGCAGCCATCCAGATGGGATACGGTGGCAACTCAGGCAGGGCTCACCTCCAGCTGCGTTGGCTGGAGTGGCTGGATCCGTGGCTCCTCCCTGATTTGAACCTCGAAGGAATATAAACAACCGGTCACCACCAAGCAAACAGGTTGCCTTTCCCACCTGACGTCAGATCGCCTGAGAGGGGCCAGCTTCCTCTTCAGAATTGGTTTCCTTTGCTTATCTACAACGTGCGTAATGGCCACGAGGAACAATGTGCAGCCATTCATTTCCAAAGTGCCACTAAAATCCCGGAACAAAATGTTGGCAGATTTCCAGCTGTTCAAACTCTCTAAATCCCAAACTGTGATTTCCTTTACGGCAGAGAGGATTTTCTCCGTGTTAATGATGCAAATTTAGAGCACCATAGGATTGCGCTCTCTCTCTCTCTCTCTTCTCTCCCTCCTTCTCAAAATAAAATAAGAGTGGTACAGGTACTCCTCAAGACCACAACTGAGCCCAAAAGATAAGCGAGAAATGTGTTAAGGGAGTTTTGCCCCATTTTATGACTTTTCTTCCCACGTTTGTTAAGTGAATCACGGCAGCTGTTAAATTGGTCGTGCGGTTGTTAAGTGAAGCGGGTTCCCCCCTTGGCTTGGCTTGTCAGAAGGGGGCAAAAGGGAATCACGTGACCTTGGGACACTGCAACTGTCATAAGTGTGAGTCAGTTGTCAAGCATCCGAATGGAAATCATGTGATCATGGGGATGCCGCAACGGTCATAAGCGTGAAAATGGTCGTAAGTCACTTTTTTTCCAGTGCTGGCGTAACTTTGAGAGGTCACTAAGCAAACAGTTGTAAGTCAAGGACTACCCACACTGTCAAACTCGCGCTGATAGTTTATTGCTCTCTTTATTGCTTTCAATGCCTCTCATGCAATTATGTCATATTCATAACCCAAGCGTGGGTCCCTTTCAGGGTGGCGTTTATGCAGAGTGTTATCTAACACTCTGGAGCAGAATATGAGCTGACGGTTAGTCAATAAGCCCAATCATTTCTCCTTGAATAAATGTCAAGTTGAAAGAAATATATAATCATACGCATCCTTTCTCTTTGGTCAGATGGCTGAGGAGGAATGTCTTTCAATAGAGGGGAATATAGAGGTACCTCAGCACTCGTCATTCCTTCGCTAGTCGTTGCCGACAGTAGGGGGCGCTGCTCATCTCCATTTTAGGGCCAACTGAGCCAGACATTTCTGCGGGTCACGTGGCCAGCATGACATCATGGAGAGCTGTTACCCTCCCACCAAAGTGGTACCTATCAATCTACTTGCATTTGCATGCTTTCGAACTGCTAGGTGGGCAGGAGCTGGGGCAAGGAACGGGAGCTCACCCCATCATGCAGTGCTTGGGTCTCAAACCTGGGCTGCTGGCTTTCCAGCCGACAAGCCCAGCATCTTAACCGCTCGGCCACGACGCTGCCCCCCAATAGCTACGGCCTGCTTAAAATGCTCTTGTGATAAAACAGTCACAGCAAACTAAATCAGCCCTGAGTGTATTTAGGGCCAGTAAATTTTCTTTCTGATTTTTCCTTCGCCATTTTCCTAAACATGGACACCTCTTTCAAACTCGGTAAAGTTTCTCTTTTCATTCCCCCTGTTGATTTCAACAATCAGCGCTACAGCCCGTTTTCCTGTTTTGGAATGTGTAACTAATTCAAAGGGGGGAAAAAAATCCCAAAGCACTTGTCGTTTAATTAGGTCACCTGCTCTGGAAAAAAAGTGCAGGTAAATCATTGACAGAAACTCAGAATCACGCTCTGACATCACTCGGAACAAGTGGGCAAGTGGAGAACTTACTGATCCAGAACACAAAGCATTTTGTCCGTCAGGTCTGGAATACATAAAAGGAACAAGAATACTGAAACATTTGTTGATTAGCAAATCTTTAACGAGATGAAACATTGACATTTCTTCATGGTTGTATGCACTGTGCCTTCCACTGGTTTTTTTTTTTCCCCAAGGGGAAAAATAGCTTTTAGTTCTGCTGACAGTGGTCCAGTCTGGCTACTTTAGATTTCACTGCTGATTCTACATGGTGACCAGTCCTTCTTGTATCCCTAAAAATTTCTTATAGAAGAAAGAAGGAGAGAGAGAGAGAGAGGGAAGAAAGAAAGAAAGAAAGAAAGAAAGAAAGAAAGAAAGAAAGAAAGAAAGAAAGAAAGAAGAAAGAGAATGGGAAGGAAGGAAGGAAGGAAGGAAGGAAGGAAGGAAGGAAGGAAGGAAGGAAGGAAGGAAGGAAGGAAGGAAGGAAAGCTCACACGCCTCATAATGAAGCTGAGTGCAATGTTTCAGAATAAACATTCGGTACAGAAGTACATAAGTGAAAGATTGGAAGAACCGGATGCCATCAAAAGAATAACGGTGTCACGAATTGCATCTGAATTTGCCCACTGAGCCTATGGAAGGGCTGAGAGCAGAAAACATGCTTAGGGGACAGGAGGGCTCACAGTTCAGCTCTGAGCGAACCAGAGGTTGGAAAGACCAGCCTTAAATATGATTCTGTCTTTGTTAGAAAGCAATTAGGTGGAGTGTTTATGGAAACTAGCTTTTCAAGTCAAGGCCAGACGGAAGAGACAGGATGTCAGAGGTCCAGGAAATCAGCCCTGGTTTCTGCCTTGAGGCTGCAGGTCCTGCCTTGGGGCTTCATGGCAATGCAGCTATCTGCAGAATGAATCATATTCAATAACACGCAGCCTGGGAAAGCTGATACAAGCAAAGGGTTTAGGCAGGCTGCAGAGGAAGTAGGAAACCCCCGAGGGTAGCATGTGAAGGAGAGACTCAAACCAGCAATCTTCTCCGTTTAATCTCCAGGGCCTGTTGGGCAACTGAATCGTCTCTCTATGGTCCTCGGAAAAATGTGCCCTTCTGGCCTCTTCCTCTTTTTTCCCTTCTGTTTTTTCATTCCACTTGACGAAAGGCAATTTGCTTTTGAAAATGTCCTTTTGGAAGGAAATCCCAGTGAAATTCCTGTGGCCAGAGTTGCTTTGCATGTGTTGGGATACAAATGGAATAAATAAATAGGAAGAGAACTGCCTTCTGTTTGGCTTGACCATTTGGGGATCCAGCCTAGTCCTGCTGATTTGATGAAACTGTGGCTTGTCATCCAATAAACCAGTGTTTCTCAACCTTGACAATTTTAAGGTATGTGGACTTCAACTCCCACAATGCTGGCTGTGGAATTCTGGGAGTTGAAGTCCACATGCCTTAAAATTGTCAAGGTTGAGAAACACTGCAATAAACGATTATGATTGTTAAGCCCTCGGAGTTATCTTGGTGGTAAGCTACGGGATGGCCAATAAATTTTATAGAAAGGTAGATAGAGATTGCGACTGACAGACAGACAAAACAAACCACAAGTGGGTAGATTTGCACAACTTGCAACGTACGAGGGAATCCTAGTTGGGCTTCTGTGAAATCTACTCACTGGGGAGGACTCCAGGATTTCCACTGGAGATCTCAGCTATCCTGAAGATTCACATTGTTCAGGATACCTCCTCTCAACAAAGGAAATATTCCAATGGGCGTCCCTGCCATGTTTGTATAAGCTGGTCAGACATCCAGATGGCCTTTCTGACACACTCAAACACAAATGCTAAGAACTGCAGGGTGGAAAAAAACCGATTCCGATCGGTGCCAACCTTGTTCTTGGTTATTTTGGGATTTCTACTGCCTTGAAATCCAATTTATTTATTTTTTTTAAAAAGTAAGGTTATCAATAATCATCCCTCTCCCAGATT